ATTGCTTGTAAGAATGCCTGAGATCTGACACCTACGGACCACAGTTAGCAGCAGCTCTTGCAGTGCTCAGAGCATTTTAAGGGACAGGAAACCTTTCTCTATTTTCACCCTCTCCTTTTAGGGGGTCAACAGGGGTAAACTACCAGTTTCAAAAACATAATTTGAACTGGAAGATTTAAGATGCTCCTAGCTCTACAGGAAAACAATACAGGCCAGGATAAGACTGCTTTGGAAAGCAAAATCTGTTAGGTAATAATTTTTAGCTACAAGTTTTTAAAAAACTCATTCAGCTAGACTAGCTGAATTGGGGGGGATGTAGTTGTGGAGCTTTTCTAGTTTCTGTACTTTGTTTCCACTTTTAACTTCACTTATAAACCTTTTGGCTTTCAGAACCAATGACATAATAGACTGTGTAGCCTTTTGTGTCAGATGCTTGAAATGAAAGTTTCAAACAGAATTGTTTTTGACTGAGCTGTCAAGTTCAGAGTTTAGTGTAAATGAGTCCTGTCTCACAACTAACTTTTTTGATAAAGGAATTCTTTGTAGTTTTCAACTTGGATGTTGCACATTTTGATTTCTAAGGCTACGGGTTTACAAAAAATATAAAACCTGCAAACAATTATTTTATTACATGAAAGCCAGTACCAAGAAAAGATTAATTCAGTCCAGATGTAAAAATGTATGTGAATTTTAGATTTGGATGATCTCAACAAGTTTTCCCTTTAGTTGATGAGGCTGCCTGGGTCCCAGATGGCATGCACAAATTACCCTTTCGGTGGCTTTCTGGGTTCAGAACTAAATTTCAGGGGCCTTTTCTAGAGTCATTTTAATATTGTTTTAGGCCTTCTAAAGAACAGACAGTTTTCTACATTCATGCAGAGATGAGTTTTTCCAATTACTCATTAATACAAACCTCGTAAATGCTCTGGTTTGGTAGATGAAGCCTATTTTGTAAGTGGGGAAACAAGGTAATCAGTATTGTGTATCCTTATGGACAAGGCATAGAAGCTTTGGCTTTCAATTATGCCAACTTCAACTCTCTTCTTTTAAAGAAAGAAAAGTTTTAAGTGTGTTGACAATCTTCAGTAGAATCCTATTGGAACACAGTTTATGTTTTATGATACAGCGATTGGTCCTTGTATGATGATCCTCCCATCCCCCTGTCTTCTCTGCCAACAAGAACCAACACACACAACTTATAAGAAAACTCCAGCATTTTTTCAACCTGTACTTCCAGCACCATAGTTAAAAGGGTGTGTGTTGCACACTTAAAATTATATATATCTTAGGAAGTCTTTGTACGATTATATAATTACATATTTTGGGAGTTTGATTACATTGTGATTGTGTATAGAGCAACCAAGTGGGGGCAGGGTGGTTAGGAAAGATTTAGAGAAGGAATTTTATGAGTAGTGAAATTGTAGTTAAAATGTATCTCTCCTAAAACTCAAATGGGAAAAATGGTATTGCTGGCCTCTGTAGTTAAACTTTGAGATAGGGGTCGTTGAGAGGACTTTTTGAATTGCACGTTAGCCTGAGGAAGAGGCTTTGGGGGCCTGTAAAAATAAGTAGGAACAAGTGAAAGGGATCATTTGAGAGGAAGGAGGAAGTAGAATACCGAGCATTGAATTGCAAAGAAAATCTAAACTTAGAAGGATGAGTGTAGGGAGAACTTTCTATTTAAAAGTGGGAATTAAAGAACAAGGTCTTTTTAGCTGAGAAAAAAGGATTAGAATTAAGGTGCCCCATAAGGTCTGTTTACAACATGAAATAGCGCTAAGTGACGTTTCTCGTGGAAACCTTACCCGAAATTTGTGTTGAATCATTCGTTTGGTGTTCAGTATTGTTCAGGGACTGGATGCTTATGATTGTGTCACCCCACCTCCCCCACCCTACTTCCCATTTCAAAGACTGGAAACATTTTGTTGTTGTTGAAGCTCTAATGGTTCTACAAATATTTTAATTTGTGCCCCAGCATTTGGAAGAACTACAACTGCCCACCCCCATGCTCTGGGACCAGACGAGCTTTACAGAAGTAATGGCAGAAGTTATCACAGAGTTTTGAGAGGAAACAAGCTGTGCTTCCAGTTATCTTATATGAATTAGTGGTATAATTACTTCTAATGCAAGTTTGTGTACTATCACTTTTTATATGTATCAAATGGAGTCGTTGTGCAGTATACCACATTGATCAGAGAGGGAGTTTTGAACACTGGGAAGGGGAAAAGAAATCACTGATTTGACAAGCTGGTTGTATTACTGGAGGAATAGCAAAAGGTGGTGCTGAAACAAATTCACAGATGAACCACATATAGGCTGAAGGAGAAGGCAGGGTTTGTGGGAGCTTCCCTGAAGTTGTCTGAAGCACGGCATTTTCTTGGATGCCTTTCCCCACCTGTGGGACCTTACCTAGTGGAGTTTGATCTGTACAGCAGGGAACTAAGTGGAGATTTGGGCACTATCTAGGTGATTTCGTTAATGTGATAATTGGGATAATTCTGACCAAAAGTACCTATTTAGAACCTCAGTATTCTAAATTGATTATCCTGGGGTCTTCTTAAATGTTTTCTAATACCTTTGTATGTATATATTAGAGAACTTTGAGCAGTAGCAATTTACTTATATATGGAGACAGGGAAAAGCAATACTAACTTATTGCCATGGCTTCATGTGAAGGAGGAAATCATTATAAAAATCAAGCAAATTCTGGATTAAGATATTAGGAAATTAATGAAGTTTCTTACTTAGCTTCTCAGGTGGTCCTCTGTCTAGTTAACATTAAATGAAAGGTAATTCATTTTCTCCCTATAGGTAGCACCACTTGTGCTGTCCAGTTTTAGTTGATTGCTTTTTTGCGGGGAGAAGGGTCCCTATGGCTTAATGTCTTTGAGTGAACTTGTTGAATAATTACATACAACCAGAAAAATGCACAGATTAGAAGTGTATAGCAGAAAGTGATCATACCCATGTAACCGGCATCCAGATCAAGAAACAACATTGCCAGCCCCCAGAAGCCTCTCCTTACAGTTAGAATCCCTGCTCCAGGGCAACCACTGTTCTCACTCTGATTGCCAGTGCTTGGCTTTAACCCATTCATGGGCTGCATTTAAATGAAATAAAATGTAAGTTCTGTTTTGTGTCTTCTTTGGCTCAACATAGTGTCACGTCCAAATTGATGCAGTTCTTTTTTATTTCTGTGAATGGATATACCCAATTTATGTATCCATTCTACTGATGGACATTTGAGTAGTTTGGGGCTGATGTCGTCAGGCATGAACTTTAGATGGCTCAAGAAAAAACAAGCACTTTGGAGCTAAAGGAAGAGTATAGTCAAGATTAAAAGAGAAAAAATAGTTCAGAAATGTGAGAGAGAAAAAATGCAATATCATGAAAACACTAAAGGCTCAACTCAGTCCACAGATTCCTAGTGTTTCAGGGACTCCGTTTGGAATATACCAACTGGATATTGCCAGATTTCACTTGAGAACTGGGAAGAGGGAGGGGACCTTAGGTGACAGTTAGCTAGTCCCATCACTTTTTAGAGGTGGAGGGACTGAGGTCCCTTGAGATTGAGTGACTCATACAGAGTCTTACAGCAAACGCCAGTGCCAGGGTCGAAGCTGGTTCTGATGGTCTGATCTAGACTAGTGCCATCTGAGGGCTGAAACCCAGCCCCCTGACCGAGTCCACTGGCCTGGAGGACAGGGAACCCTTTTCTGATTCACACAAAGGTGTCCTGTGGACAGATAGACTCAGACCTGTCCTGAGAAAATGAAGGTGTGGCCCAGCGAGGCAGAATTTTACTTCCTCAAGCCTGCTCTGCCTCTGCTTCCTCTCTCCTTTCCTCCCCCTCTCCTAGGGCTCTCCAGTGAGACCTTGGCTTTTGAGTGCCAAGGAAGTGATATCTTGTCCCTCCTGACTCATTGTTTCATCGATTCATAAATGATTTGGGATGTGACCCTAATTTCAGAGGACTGCTTCCTAAATACTTTTTAAATAGTTCATTCTTAAGAAAATGTTGCAAAAAATGGGGGTTTTTTTTGGCCTCTTCCTGCCATTATGACTCCCCACTTTTAATGTACACCACCCCCTAGCCCCTCTCCCCAAGGTTTTTTAATTCTTAAATATCCCTGGAAACATCCGGTATCTACTTAAAACAGCAGTGACATTCTGATGCTGAAATCTGTGGCAGTCCCCAGGAGGCACTTACTGTAAAACGTAGGATTATTATTTCACTGAGAAATCTAATAGATAAAACAAAGTGCTTGCAAAGGAAAACTACTGATAGTTTCTTTCATGTTTCCCTAA